CTCAGACAGCTTCTGTAACAACTGATCCCAGATGTGAGGGGCCGTGACCAGAGGTGCTGAGGAGCAAGCGCACAGGACATTTTCAGGAGACCTCAGCACTCTGTCTAACCAGCTACAAGAGGGTGTTGTGGGAAACTGTGGTCAGGAGGGGTATCACATGTGAAGGAGGGAGAGGAGAAGGAAACTGGAAGGGGCAGACACTTTCCTCCTCCAGAGTCCTCACCCCTCCTTCAAGACATCACAGGACACCTGTCTTCCTGACTCTGTGACCCAGCCCCATAGGCATAATTCACCTTCCTACTTCTGAGGCCTTCACCAGGAGATCCTCACTGAAGAAAACCATAAGAAAAGGCTGAATGCAGATCAGGGTTTCGGGCAAACACCATCAGCCCAGTTCTGCAGATGAGAAATATACTACTTGCCCAAAGTCACACAGCTACTTGGAGGCTTCTGGAAGTCCAGCTGGAGAGTTCGTTAAGTTCTAGGAGCAAATCTTATAGCCCTTGAATGGAAATATGGTGCTTTAATGGAAATGGCACCAGAGATAGACACACCTGGCTCTGATCCCACCTGGCTTCTGTCAACACCATCTTGAAGGAGCCTGACCACACCTCCCCTTAGCATCTCTTCACCACTGACACTCACCACTTGACAGGACCCCTCAGAGGCTGCCTGGGGAGAGATGGTCTAGCATGTAGTATGGTCACAAAAGGTTGGGTTCCTTTTCCTTGGGTAACAATTCACATTTAAAACTGCCAAGAAACCATATCTAGTAATGTAAGACCAACCTAGTATGAGAAACCACAATGCTCAACACAGAAAGGAATTCAATGATTTTGGCCATTTGAGAAACATAATTAAAAGAATAATGTCTTTTGGGCCATTAGACTTGCAAATTTAAGATGTCAATGCTGCAGGGAAACATATAATGGAAGGGTGTGAGCTAATGAGGTGTTATTCATGGGGGTGTAATTTGGCAAAACTGTTAGTTCACCATCCCCCCTTGTCCTACTGACGCTAACAGGGGCCTACAAGACTGAATGGCGGGCGCCAGAGGGACCTGGCCCATATATAACTGGCTATTGTTACAGCAGACAATTGGAAAGGACCTACATACCCACCAATACAAGATGGTTCAATAAATTACAGCACACCCCTACTCTGGAATATGGATCCCTACTTCCAAAAATGGGTAAACTCATAGTGTCAGTCCACAAACAGTGTACCAGAACACAGCAAGAAATCGGAAAAGCAAATCAGAGAATACGTATGTGATATGACTATATTTACATTTATGTGAGCAATTTAAACATTGCATTCTAATTTATTTTGAGTCACCAAGGACAGAACTCGGGCTGTCAGACGATGAGGCGAGTGCCTCTACCTGCTGAGCCATCTTGCCTGCTCTAACAGGAGCTGCAGTCCACTGGAAAGGTCAAAGGGCAATGACACAAGGGTGTGTCACAGGGGCAGAGGGCTGCTCTGGCATGCATGAAGCCCTGAGCCTGAGCCCCTACACTACAAACACACATGTAAACAAACACAATGACACCACCTCCACTTGCACAGCTACTGCTGGCATTCTGGGGTCTACATCCACTTTCCATGAAAGAATCAGAGCTCTGAAAACAGCTGGTTCTGAGGTTGGGGCAAGGAAAATACAGACCGAGTCTCAAGGATTTTTGTGCCAAAATAGAAAAGAAGCCCTTAAAGAAAGATGGGAACATGTTCAAAGAAAGTTGTTCCCAAAGGCCAAATCTGGGACACTTTGAGTAATAAAGAAATAATGACCGCAACCAACTAAAGTCTAATGAATACGGACGGCAATTATTTCCAGGGACCAGAGATGTAAATCAAAAAGTGCATTTTAGGGAAAAGAAAAGATGTCCTCTTTAGCACAGTAACTAATACATGTAGAAGGAAACAGGAAATTAGAACCCCCCCCAAATCAACTCTCTAAGAGTCAGATACGAGGTATCAATGGGTTCTAGCGGTGGCTGGGATGACGAAGGAGCAATGTTTCCTGCATCCCTACGAGATATATATTAATCACCAAGGGGGAAATGTAACTTTTCAATGAGGTCCACACCATCCTAATCAAGATGCCAACGCTAACAAGCCTAGTATCATTCAATGAGATAGTAGGCAGCACCTGCCTCACACTGAGCCCAGCTAACATGGCTGCAAGCCTCTGCTGCTCCTGCCAGAAGAACCTAACCTGAATCCAACTATCGGGAAGCCCAAGTTAAAGGGCATTATCTGAAACAATCAGTAGTCTTCAAACATGTCAATGGCATTAAATACAAAGAAATACTAGTTAAGAGAGACTATGACCACAAAATAGATAGATAGATAGATAGATAGATAGATAGATAGATAGATAGATAGATAGATCATGAAAATGAAAGGAAGGGAAGAGATGCAGCAAAATAATAACATTAGGAGAAGCTGGACTTATTCATATTCATACTATTCTTACAGTTTTGCTGAGAGTCTGAAAGGACATCAAAATACAAAAAAAAAATTGAGAGCTAGGAGCACTTCAGGGGGTTCTGAGGCTTGGGTTCATGATGGTCTTTTTTTTTTTCTTTTTTCTTTTTTTTTTGAGTTTTTTTGAGACAGAGTTTCTCTGTGTAGCTTTGGAACCTCTTGAAACTAGCTCTTGTAGACCAGGCTGGTCTTGAACTCACAAAGATCCACCCACCTTTGCTTCCCAAGTGCTGGGATTAGAGGCGCGTGCCACCTCCGCCCAGCTGCTGGCCTTTTAAGCACAGAGAGACAGGCAAAGTGAAGCAAGTCTGCAAGGGGTTGGTTAATACTGGTCTCCCTGACACATGCTCTGCTCAGAGCTTCTGCTCCAGGACCAGCCTCTTGCTCATCAATCAAGCTCTGCAAAAGAAGCACGAGCATGATCCAGCTTTCTCTACCACAGACTTGTGTTTACTTCTGCAGTGAGAGTCAAAGCCTCCTGACACCATTAAGTAAGTAGCTGATGATTCCAAGAACTTCTCTGGAATATGGAAGCTAAGGAGGAGTTTCTCATGACAAAGTCAAACCAAGATGAAGCTGGCTGGATGGGGAGCTTCTCCCTCCACTTGGCCTTATCGAGTTCTTGAGAGGCTAAACCGTAGGGTTGGGGATGAAGGTTACCTGGCCCCCAGCGCTTTCCTAGTCCTTTCTTTTGGTGCATTCACGGAGGCTAGCTGAGAATTCTCCCAGGTAGACAGTTTTGGGTAGGGCAAGTAGTTCTTTATCACACACACCCCATTTCTCCAGTGTTCTACCATTTATGCAAATCCCCTGTGTGTGTTCCCTAAAGTGATTTTTAACAACTAACATTCATTTTAACAGTAATACCACAGAGTACCTAGTTTGCAAAACAGTGGGATAAACGATCATGTGTGCCCTAAACTCTGAGTCTGCTCGAGAGCCTGGGATTACCTAAACAGATTCTGAGACAGATGATGACAAATGAAAAGTAACTAGACAGGCAGGGTAGCTAAGCAAGAATGGCACATGCTCTCACGGACAAAGCTCGGCAGAAACACACCCCCTCGTTTGCCTCTATATCTGTCCCCGACATCCATTTCCGTAAGCTCAGTCTTTAAGATGACCCTCCCAGTGACTTGAGCTCATTTCTACGTCACGTTGACAAGCCACAATGAGCACCGCCTGGCAATGCCGTTCACACACAGTGCTTGCCACCCGAGAAACAGCACTGTGATATCCTGACACCACCACTTGTGCAGAACCGCCAACACTCGGACCTCCTCAGATGAGCACCAGTTCTCGACAAAGAAGTGAATTTCCCAGGAGAAACCTTTTCTCAAAGTACTCCCCAAACAAGAGCCTCAGCCCACACCCAAAGACAAAATTTCCTGTCTTCAACCAAAGACAAGAAGGCTAAGTAAGTAGGACAATCTATAGCTGTTCACTGTCCAACACTTAATATTTAGATTTGGAAACAAACTCAGCAAGTGAGGTTCAATTTTCACCTTTTAGAGATGAGAACATTGAGAACCTGAGTTAACAAGTGACAGGACCCTCAGAATTCACCCCCAGATCAGCCCACTCTGTCCCCAGGCCCCTGTGATGTCCTACTGGGCACAGGAGTGAACCAAACAGAATATCATTACAACACCCCAACCTCGGTGCCACCCCAACCCCCATTCTCTTGGCTCAGATGCCCTAACTGGCAGGTGACAAATCACATTATACTCTCAGACAACCTCTCAACAGCAAACGCATTCAGAGGCAAAGCGAAAGATAAGAAGATGGGATTTACAATGGCCTATATACTTCCTTCTTACCCAAAGGGACATTTTCATGAGCTGTCAACTCCGGGCAGGAAGAACCCACCATTATGTAATGTCAGAGGGCAAGCGACAAGGGGCAAGAGAAGCCAAGGCCCATCAAGGCTCCCTTCCTTCGCCCACAAAGATATAAATTTGTGTCTGACATTTTGAGTGTTTCAGTGGCCTACACATTCATGACTGGCTTTGCAAAAGACGACCACGGATCCCTGCAAACCTCCCAGGCCTCAATTAGCTTACTAGCAAAGCAGAGGGATATAAAATACATAAAAAAAAAAAACAAAGGTGAGGGAGATCCTGTCCGGGACGATGCGCGGACAGAAAATGCTTGAAGAGTTGCGAGGATGCAGTGGGTGCATCCACCAAGACGCATGTTTATTTTTACTCGGTGTTTTGACACCGGAGACACCCGCGAGGCCTTCAGCGTCAGATGCCCGGGATCCAGCAGAGATGCACACTGCAGGCGCACAGCATCCCACAGCTCCCCAAGAGGCCCAAGGCAAGGGGACCGCAAGTCTAGGACCACTCTCCAAAGACGCAGCCAGCGAACCACTAGGCTGTACCACTGCCATGACAACCGCGGGCGCCATCCGGTCGGGTCCCCAGTGTCTCCAGCTCCCAGACGCCCGGCCGCTCAGCTCAACCCCGCACCACCCGACCCAGCTCAGCCCAGCTCGGCCCACCTACCTGGCGTGCCCCGACCCGGGCACTCGCTCAGCCCCAGCCTCCGTCCTCCCGGCCGCGCGCCCTGGCTTCGGCCCTGCCGGTCTGTGCCGGGTTCTGAAGACTGGCCGGGACTTGGGTTCTGGCCGCCTTGCTCCGGGCGGTGGCGTCCACCCCAGACCCGAACCCGCCGTCCCCTCGCAGCCCGAACCCCGCCACCGCCTTCACTCAGAACCCGGCGCACAGCCCCGCCCCGGTTCCGCCCCCTCGCCGCGCATGCGCGTTCCACGCCCGACTGGCGCCCTGCCCCCTCCCTCGTTGACTCCGCCCCCAGGAGGCCGCACCTTCCATAAGCCCCACCCTCTTCTGTGACGTCATCCAGGAGTGGACCTTTTTAATCCCCTTCATATACCGTGAATCTTTTGCTGACAAGCCAGATAATTAGGAGAAAAGCGTTGCAGGAGGTCCGAAGTGCAGGTGTAACTAAACAATCACTCGGTGGGAGTAGTTATCAATGCTATTATTTGAATGATTTTCCAGACTTGTTCTAGTTTGTGTGTACAGACTCCCAACAGACAACGGTCGTAACACTTCTTTTTCAAAATTCGAATTTTTACATGGGGAAGAAGTCTAGTGAGAACTTTCAGGAGATACGAGTTTATTTTAATTGCATTTTATTATTTATTATAATAGGGGCAGGGGCTCCCTGACTGATACTTTGTTTTAACTTTTGCTATAATGTTAGTATTTCTGTCTGAAGGGAAACTCCTGGACTAAACATAAACATTTATTTTTCAGTTTTTTAGACATTTGTCTTTTTTGTTGCTTGTTTGTTTTGTATCGTTTTGGTTTTTTGAAACAGGGTCTCGTGTAACCCAGGTTGGTCACCAACACACTACACAGCTGAGGCAGCACTAAGCTCTTCATGTTCCTGACACTGCCTCCCAAAAACTAATTACAGGTATGCACCGCCACATCCACCTTTATCTTCTGAAAAGTAACTTATTAACAAAAGGCTTACCTTTTGCCATTTCTTCAGGAGAATGGGAGAAAATATTGACAGAACCTTAACCCTATGACGAAAAGCTGAGTAAATCAAACACGCCTGCAAAAATGAAAAATGCCTTCCTTTTTCATTTTCTAAATTCCAAGTGACTGGTACATCTGGTCTTCTCAAGACGGTCCCAGTTTACACCTCTCCCAGTAAAGCTATTAATGGCAATCCCCCTTTCACCCTCAAAAGTATCCCCATATAGATAGTAAATGTCACAGCCAGTGTCCTAGTTCACGTCTCTATTAACCACTAACAAAAACAACTTAGGAGGAAAAGGTTTATTTGGCCTACAGGTTACAAGTCCATCAACAGGGAAGCCAAGGCAGGAACTTAAGGCAAAAACCTGGAGGCAGGAATTGAAGCAAAAGTCATGGGTGAAAGCTGCTTTCTGGGGTTGCTCAATTTGCTTTCTTATACAACTCAGGACCACCTGCCCAGGGTGGCACCGCCCACAACTAACCTTGCCCTCCTACATCAATCATCAAGAAAATGCCCCACATAGGTGCCTACAGATGGAGATATTTTCTGATGGAGATATTTTCTGATGGAGATATTTTCTGATGGAGATATTTTCTGATTGAGATTCCCTCTTCCTAGCTGAATCTAGCTGGTGTCAACAACAATAAACAGCCACACTATAACCAAGCTAAAGAGAGTTTTCAGATCAATAGCCTTGAATTTTTTAATTCATAAGTTTAAAAATATCAGTCTCATTTCAACAGTTATTCAAGACAGTAACAAGGGCTGGAAAGATGGCTCAGAGGTTAAGAGCACTGGCTGCTCTTCCAGAGGTCGTGAGTTCAGTTCCCAGCAACCACAAGGTGGCTTACAACTATCTGTAATGAGATCTGATGCCCTTTTCTGACCTGTAGGTAGAACACTGCATACATTAAAAAAAAGACAGTAACAAATCTGATCAGAGTTCCAATATTTTCCCCTTGACTATTGCATACTTCTAAGTAATATTAAAAGACAGTCGTGTGTTTCACTGTGTTGATGGACACCCCCAATCCATTATACAAAGAAAATAAGAAAAGAAAAGGGAAGCTGAGTTTGTGGACATATATGGCAATGTGCATTCCCTACACATGACAACATGACAGAAGATTTAGCCTGGGCACAGTGTACCGGTCTTTCAACATTATCAACACTGGGGCCCCAAACACCAGCAATGTAAACATCTTGGCAGGAATGGAATTATTCCAAGCAGACAGGAGTACCCCTCCTCTTAACTGTCAAACTACTGAGATAATACAATCCCAGAAATTGGAATTGACTCAGAATCATGCTGGAGAAAGAAAAGGCTGGGAAATCTGGTGTCAGCCAGAAGTGGAGCCTGTCTCCCAGAAAGATTTCACACATCTCTCACAGCTTGTCAGAGCTCTCTGTAGCAGAGACTAGAAAATGATGGTGAACAGGAATGACCTTGATTGGGTCTGCTTAACCTCACAGAATTCTGGTTTATCTAGTCAGAATCCTCACATTTGGACCTAGGAAGATGGAATGGGGTGAGGGGTTGGAAGGGTGGGGGAGGGGGCCATTGGATCTTTATGTCCTTCTCCCCAAGTAGTCACGCTGAATAAATTTTCTGTTTTTCACTATCGTTTGCTGAATTGGCCTATTGAGGACTTGTGGCTGAGTCTTAACTTACCAGGGCCATCAGAACTCAGGCTTTGATCCTAAAAACTCTGGAAACAGCTTCAATTTTCACTCAAACATTTACTAGGGGGGCAGTTAGACATCTAAGCAGATACAGGTGTTTACCGTCAAGCCCAAGGACATGAGTTCAGACCCCATGCTGTACATGGTGGAAGGAGAGCACCAATTTCCACCAATTGTCCTGAGTTCCACCACCCACATATGTACACACTGTGCCATGCACACCCAGAGATTTTAAAAATAAAAAATAAACAAGCCACAAAAGCACTGGAAACGTAAATCCCAAGCCCCACCTCAGACTGTTTTTAACAAGTCCTGTGGGGGTGCTGAAGAGCATACCAACTTAAACCATCTATGTGCAATATAGCTAATACAAGAACTAAGGACTGGGCAGCGTTATCATTAGGACTAGAGTCATCCTACATGAGACTCTCCTAGACCATTAAATATGATGTTTATATGCATGAGTAGTTTTGGTAGAAAATATGCATAGACTAGAGTACCATGGGTTCTGAAGACCTCAGAGCTGTGGAAAGTCGCCCTAGTGGTGTTCACTGAAAGGACCGAAAGGACTTGAGCACCTCAAAAAGTCCTACTCTTCAAGACTTAGCATTATTTGACTTGTCTGATAACATCTTGGTCGGGCTTGTCTTTAACAGGACTAACAACTTTCTCATAGAAATGGAGCTTTCTGCCCTGGGGGAGTGTAGACAGCTGGTTAGAGCTAAGCAAAGGCTTACCTAAAATTTAAAAGGAGAAAGTGATTGTGGTGGGATGGGGAGACAGGGGGGGGATGGGGGGAATGGAGGGTTGGATTGATCAAAATACAGTATATGTATGTATGAAATTCTTAAAAATTATAGTAAGTTTTTAAAACTTTAAAGGAGATGGGTGGAGAGATGGCTTAACAGTTAAGAACATGGGCTGCTCTTCTAGAGGACCAGGGTTCAATTCCCAATACCCGCATGACAGTTCACAATCATTGGTACCTCTAATTCCAGGGGAGTCAATAACCTCTTCTGGATTCCACAGTCACAGCACGCATGTGGTATACAGTAGACACACAGGCAGGCAAAACATCCATACACATAAAAATAAAAGTAATAAAAACTTTTTAAAATTACTCTCTTGGGGAATGAGAAGTCCATGGAGGAAGGAGTTGAAAAGATGAGAAATATTTCTGAAATTCTAAAAGTGCATGCCCAGGAAAGATGTGAAACAGCTCCAGTTTTCCACCTTGAAACTTAGAGTAAGCAGGATGTGACACCTAAGGAACTTGCCAATGCCTGCCTAAGGATTGAAGACAAGCCCAGCACACACAGCCTGAACTCTAAACACAGGAAGAGCTGGAGGAAGTCTCTAATCACTGGAGAGCCAGTAAGCTAACCAAGCAAGGACCTGTGATGGTTTGGATGTGACATGCCACCACCCCCAGACACTAATGTAGACTTCCTCTTGTTTTGATTTTGTGGGGTCTTGTTTTCTTGCTTGTTATTGTTTTTGCTTTTATTTTTATAACAAGAGGGCATTTCTATGTAGCTAGTATGATGTGCTTTGTCAGAAAGAGACAAACATGTTTATGTCTTTCTACAATGTCAGAATTTACTGGATAACAATAAATTCACAAGGTACAGTGTTTTCATTGGCAGCAATTTACCTTATAGTCCTGTTTTCCTTCCTAGCCCTGGCAAAGGTAAACACCAGTTAATATATTCCAGTCTTAATTACTGATATTAACTCTTTGATCACATATTGCACAACAGTAAATGTATCTAATGTACACATGCAGGTTACAGAATGACTTTCAACGATTAAAGAGACTTGAGATGTCAAACCTGGAAAATGGATAGGAATGCATAAGGCATGGGGGAGCGGGCTTGTTTTAGTTTGTCTTCCATTGCTATGATAAACATCATGGTCAAAAGGAACTTACAGAGCCCGATCATAGTTCCTCACTGGGAGAAGTCAGAGCAGGAATGCAAGGCAGGAACCTGGAGGAAGGAACAGAAGCAGAGGACATGGAGGAATGCTGCTTCCTGTCTGGCTCAACTATTTTCTTGTACAACCAAAGACCACCCGCCCAAGGGTGGTACAGCTGCTAATGGGCTGAACTCCCCTACTTCAGTCGTTCATTTTTAAAAATGCCCGATAGATGTGCCAATGGACTAATCTAGTGGAGGCATTTTCTCAGTCGAGGTTCCCTCTTCTCAGATGATTCTAATTGTGTCATGTTGCCAGAAAGACAGGGAGCACAGGTGTATTAGTCAGGGCTCTCTACGGTAACAGAACTTACAAAACGGATCTCTATATATATAGATAGGGGATTTATTAAAGAATGACTTACAGGCTGTGGCCCAGATAATCCAACAATGGCTGCCTATGACCAAGAGGTCCAAGAATCCAGTAGTTGTTCAGTCCACACAGTTAGATGTCTCCGCTGGTCTTCAGTATATGCTGGAATCCCAGTGAAGTAGGCTCTAACGCCAGTGATGGGGTGGACTTGCTAGTGAGGGAAAAAGCAATC